ACAAAGGCTGTCAAACGCTGTTGGCACTCCTGCGCATCGATGGTGAATTTACTTCAAGGTTACCCACATGCGTATGTAAAACGTATCCGAAATTATACTTAAAATGGTATTGGAATACCAGTTGGAAACTGGGATTTGCAATTAAGACTGCAATGAAACACAATCGTCGATGGAAAATTGTATATGAAATATCAACCTACCTAAAGAAAAAATATACGTCAAGTGGATGTAATGCAAATTGCGGATAGAAAAAAACGCAATTATAATATCCTCCTATCGCCAAAGATTACTACACTAAGAATTGCGATAATTAAAAATCAAGTGCACTCTATCACAGCTTGCAGTCGAAAGAGAGAAATTAAGGTCGACAATCGATAACCAATGCGCGCTAAAATTGCATGATCAAAATTCCAACGATAGATGGATTCATCTATTCGAAGGTTACGACTGCTTTCCAAATTCATCAAAATATACCATGAACAATAATGTAATTAAGAAAATAAACCGTTAGGTACAAATCTCAATACGTAAGATATGAATTTCTTCGATTTGTGTTGACCTCTGATGTATTTTGATCAAAATATGTCAAAATCGCATCGATCTTGCATCGAGATCGTTGGGGAAAGGACTAATGCCCGTTTGCACCGACAAATTTAAGCGGAGCTTAGCTTAAAACCCATGGCAACCATTGTATCAATAATCGTGTCATGGATTTTAAAGTAAGCCCTACTTAAATTTGCCGGTGCAACATAAGAGCATTATCTCAATGCCCACGAGATTTTGCATTTTTAGCGAATTTTCATCAAAAGATGTCAAAATCGTTATTCGTGTGCCAAGATCGTGTGAAAAAGACTTAGAGCATTATCTCAACACCCAACACACGAATTTGATCCATTTTTGTCAGATATTTGCTCTGATTTTTGTTGACTATTATGTATTTTGCAACGTTAAAGTAAATGGTCGCTAAAAAATTAATGATAATACTGGGGATCCTTCGATATTCCGTTGTATCGGTTTCTTTTGTTCAGTTTTAGTTCAGAATTTCGAAACTTTGTTAAAGGAAATGGAAATTTCAACCCTTTCATATGTAATAGTGCATTACAACTTTCCGACCTTAACTGTTCATTATACCTCTTAGTAATATTAGCACAAGTACCATTTATGTAAATACATTACTGATGCAATAATTTTTTTTAACATTTTTGACATTTGGTAAAAATCTTGTATGATAAACGTAAATAAAAACCATTATCCACTCAAAATCATTATCGCGTCTTGGCGCGGATAAAATTTGACCTGTTCGGAAAACAATTGCAGTTGAATACTTTTTATATCCATGAACCTAGCAGAGCAAGGTCAGCAGAACACAATCAAACATATTGCATAATTAGGTGTTAATTAGGTGCTAATTAAGTGCCCTATCCTCGAATTAAATGCTCCTTTTTTTAAAATTATTACATGTTCTGCCAGGTTCATATGAACTCATCAGAGCACTGCCTCAAAAAACTAAGAAAATGAAAAGTGAACTAACTATAATTAGGTACTAATTAGGTGCTAATTAAGTGCCCCTATCCCGGATTAAATGCTCCTTTTTTTTAAATTTTTACATGTTCTTCCAGGTTCATAATTTAAAAAAAAGAAGCATTTAATTCCGGAATAGGACACTTAATTAGCACCTAATTAGCACCTAATTATAGTTAGTTCATTTTTCATTTTCTTGGTTTTTTGAGGTAGTGCTCTGAGTTCATATGAACCTGGCAGAATTGTAATAATTTAAAAAAAAGGGAGCATTTAATTCGGGGATAGGGCACTTAATTAGCACCTAATTATGCAATCTGTTTGATTGTGTTCTGCTGACCTTGCTCTGCTAGGTTAATGGACATACATATACTTTTTAGAATCCTATAATCCTATCTGCATTTTTGTATAGGGGCCAGCTTGGGGTATAGGAGTTTTGGAAAGTTGAAAATTTTGAGAGTAGGCGCCCACGATGACTGAAATATTTTGGTATCCTTTACCATTCATTTTTATCGCAAACTACTCCTTTACTATATTGTTCTGAGGAATACCTGACTTTTTGTGTGCTTACTTTAGCAGATTCTTAACAACCTAAAAGTAAGCACGAAATATGACGTAATATGAAGCCTAGGCAAGCTTAGGTTGTGAAGTATTGATCCATCAAAAATTATCGAGAATTTTAGTAGGCTATAAAGGCTATGAAAAACAATTATGAAGACACCACCTGTTGAATAGGTCCTGTTGAAAATATCTTCAAGGACTTCATCAGAGGTATTCGAAAATAACGCATTCGCTCATATGGCAACACACCTAAATAATAAGAGAGCACAACAACAATATTTCAACAGTATATGCCCACAAAGAATGCATTCTCATCCGTTATTTCTTTAACATTCTAAACAATGTCACATTTTGAATTATAAAGTCCTATTTGAAATTAATTCATCTGCACGGAATTTAAAATAGAAGGTCAAAAATAATAAAATATATATCACAGGTGGCTTCACAAAGGTAACGTACGATCTACTTTATTAGCGATTAAATTCATCCGTAGGTACGTGATTAATATGTAGGTAGGGTACGTTTCGCTATAATTCTCTGCGTTTTCAAGAAATACGCAAGTATAGGTGCAAATAGTGCAATGCATAACGCAGATTGGTATTCTTATCAAACACCTAATTATTACCACACTAGAAAGTGTAGCTTGACCGGCACGTACGAAAATTTTTTCCATATTACGTGAAAGAGAGTATTTAACATTCTAAAACCGAATGTCCGCTTTAAATTTGTAATTTAGAGAAGTGAGATTAGTCGTCTTAAGAGAAGCTATTGGAATGCTCAGAAAGAGGTTAGTTCTACAACGCGCAGGTGCGAACGAAACCGCTATTCAAATACTCGTAATGTCCAGTGACACCTTAAACCTTTTCTGAAGCTGACAAGAACCTTATGTGCCCCCCAAGAACCATATCAGAATCAAAAGCTCCTTAGAAAAAATTTTAAAGGATATACGTAATAAGTTGCCAGCTCTGGAAAGGGTTCGAGAAACTTTAAGAGCATTATCATTCCCATTCTATTGTGTTCCAAAGTAGTATCAAAATACATATAGCTATTTTCATTGTTTTCTACGTTTTTTTCCTATTATTCCAAGGCTTTCTAGAGTTTTCAGAAGCTTCTATGACATGTGGCGCCTTTTTGGTGAAAACACAAGTCATAAATATCCATATCATCCAAAATAGGCCAAAAATAATCAAGCCTCTGTAGAGTGTACCTGTTTAATTTTGGGCCCAATGCTAACCCCAGACCACAAAGCACACAATACAGTCACACGAATTGAGTTGTTTAAGAACTTATCGTGAATTTTTTGATGCCCAGGTGCCGCAATTTTGTTCATTAGCATACTAATACAGCTAAAGAAAGGCGTCATCCGAAAAATAATAATATTTCGTTCTACTGCGCCAATGTAAAAACATTACATAACTGTAATTTTACCCTATTTTAAATCCTTCCACATACAGGGTGATTCCTATAGTACCTGCCACCGTTTGGGAGCGTGTAGGTGGTGCGTAGGGGAGTATTTTGATATAGGACACTTGGGGTCGGAAATCTAAATTAAGGGTGCCAGAGCCAAATTTACCTTCTGGAATTTCGCGCCTGTAGGTAGGCAACCCAACCGGCCGGCGGTGCACACGGAGCGATCTCAGGCGGCGATGTGTGGCTGACACTTGATCAGAATTTTGTTTAAACCCTCCGCGTCTAAATGCACATAATTACCTGATTTTCCTGCGCGAGGTGCTACCAGAACTTTTAATGGATGTTCCAGTGAACTTGTACTGGGACCACTGGTTCCAGCACGATGGGTGCCCTGCTCACTACGGGCGGCAGGTGAGGGAACACTTGGATCAAACCTATCCGGACAGATGGATCGGCCGTGTAGGTGCGGTGGAGTGGCCTGCCCGCTCGCCCGACATCACCCCATTAGATTTTTACTTGTGGGGTGTGATGGAAGCGCACGTCTACGAGACTCCCGTCGAATCCGAAGAGGACTTAATTGCGCGCGTCGTCATGGCCGGAGAGGCTGTTCGCCAGAACATAGGAGTCTTCACGCGAGTTCGAGGGGAGTGGTTGGCTAGATGTAGGAAGTGCATTGAGAACAACGGTGGCCACGTTGAACACTTGTAAACGTTATTGCTTTTGACTGTCGTTTTCCCTCCTTCCCTCCCATGTCGCTTCCTCGCGCTAACTCGCTCTGCATCGCTCCGCGCGAAACGTTGGTCGGTTGGGTTGCCTACATACAGGCGTGAAATTCCAGAAGGTAAATTTGGCTCTGGCACCCTTATTTTAGATTTCCGACCCCAAGTGTCCTATATCAAAATACTCCCCTACGCACCACCTACACGCTCCCAAACGGTGGCAGGTACTATAAGAATCACCCTGTATACAGATAGGGCAGGTAATTATAGAAACTGAAAACCCTGAAACCGGAAAATGGTTTCGTGGGGGAGTTTTTTGTACTAAAATGATTGAAAATATTTAAAGATATCGGTCACTGTAAGCTTAATTTTTCACATTTCCACGCCGGTTCCTTTATTGTGAAGATGTTGCACCTACAGAAACTATTTGTCAAGGATAGACAGTTCGCGTCAAATAAAATCGACAATTTTAAAATCTGTCCCAGACATGTTCCGGTTTTATTGAATGTGAAATAATTTGTTGATCACAAGGTCGATTTCGTATCTTGAATCGATTGACAGTGTCGATGTCAACTCGGTTTAAATTCGGAAGCTGCAACAAATTTCTTTGAAATGTGTCACCATATTCTCAAGGTACCAATAAATACCTCCCATGCAACGAGACTTTTTTTCTAATTCAAGGCTCTCAATCTCCACCTATATTTTAAAAAGGAGTACCACAAATACTTCGCGAGGTTTCTCAATGTTATACTTTCTATAAATAACTCCTTTTGTGTGAATGAAGAAAAAAGAGAGCGTTAGCTGTCGTTTTTATTTCGATTATGTAAATGAATTACGTATTCGCATTCTAATAAATAATTGAAGTATTTACAATTACCATGCACTTCTTAGATACATCACCGTGTGCGAGGGATCGCTTTAACAAGAACTTAACAAAGGTATTAGGCGTGCGGTTGCGATTACCGTTTTCTGTAATTAACCGAGTAGGAGCCGTAGTTAAGGTCAACGTTTGTGGCCGGACCGAATCCTCCTTGATAGTGTTGATTGTAGGCCGGACGTGGATTGTAGTAGGTCGCCGCCGGTTGTGGCTGTTGCTGTTGGGGTTGGTGGTTGGAGATAAAGTCATCGAAACTGAATTTTGTAGCTTGTCGACTTGGTTGATGGTACGTTTGGGGTTGTTGATAGATTTGCGGCTGTTGGTACGTTTGAGGTTGCTGGTATGTTTGGGGTTGCTGATACGTCTGCTGTCTTTGGTACGTTTGGGGCTGTTGATATGTTTGAGTGTACTTCGGTGCGGCATAATTATTTTTCTGCTGAGGTTGATTGTATGTTTCATCCTTGTAGTAAATAGAGGGGTCCTCGCGGTATTGTCCATCGTCTTCTTCATTGGGGCCAAGAGGGCGTATTGGCTGATTGTTGTGAATAGTTGGAGGGGGTACGTTAATGTCGTTACCTTGTGGTTCAAACCCTCGCCTGCTTGCTCCATATTCAATTTCTCTTAACTTCCCTGTGTCATCTACGTAACCGTATTTTCCATGAACCTCCCCATTGGGATACTTCGTTTCAATTTTAAACGCACCATCGGCACCCTCGTATCCGTAGCTGTACGACCCATCCTCATTGTGTTTATTAATTTGCTTTAAAATGGGAACCGGCGTCGTGTACTGCTGGGCTTTAGCAACCACAAAGCACAACCCGCTTATTAACAGTATCTGAAATTATCAACAATTATTTGTTACACATGCACCGTTTTCACGTTTCACTAAAGTTGGCATCGTTACTTACATAGCAATTCATAACGCTTGTTGTAGAAGCACGAAATTGTAAACAGCCTCGCCTTCCACGCCAAACGTTTTATAGCTTACCCCCACAAAGCAAGGTTAATCATTACATAGTGGAATTAAATTAAAATAATTCATATTTTTACAAACTGCTTTATACCGACAGACAAGTCGCTATTTTAGGATTTCCTCATTATACAAAATTGCTAGGGAGCCTCTAATCGAAAAAAAATTACTTAAAATATTTAATGTGCAGTAAAGCACGATAGGACGATAGTTTGTTTACTTAAAGGTTTCATGCTCTACTAATTCTTTGTGTTAATACAAAGGTTATACAACCGATCTTTAAATAATTTCGTTTACGAATAAGTGTCAATTGTAATTACCGTTAACTAATCGCCTTGGCTTGGAAAAATTTTCCCAAAAAATTACAACGAACCTATTAACCTCATTATACACAAGACGCTACGGGTATTCATTCATGTGAAAAGACCATTGTCAATGTCCACGTGTGAAATGACAATGTAAAATGGCCCGAAACAGAGTAGGTACCTACTGCAGGGCCACAGTTTGTCATTTCATATGAGTGTAAGTAAAATTTGCACTTCCTATGGCCGAACACGTCAAATTTATGTTAAAGTGAATATCTTTCAGATGATCTCTCTAGGTGAGGTAGCTCCATCCTTGAAGTATCATAGCGTATTTTTAAGGTAAAATTAGTCACTTGATTTTCAATTATTATTTTTTGCGTTTTTCTACAAAATTAAAAAGAAATCGCTATTGTAACCACTTTGTCCGTCCGTCTAGCCCAGTGTTTCTCAACCATTTTGTGAATGTTATTTAGCTCTGTGGCCCACCTCCGCGTTAGACCCGGGGGTATGGAATCCCCCCTGGAGAGGGGAGGGGGGGGGTCATACCCCGACAAATTTTGGAAATTTTAGTAACTTTACACAAGTTTTTAGACTAATTTACGTCTTTCTCCGACTTGCACAAAAATGTATAGAATGTAGGCCATTAAATGTGGTATTTCAATATTTTAACATTTTAGATTAGATCAAAATTAATTTTAGTTATTTTTTAGTTATCAAGAAACCATTTTCATTTTGTTTTGACGAAATTTAAAAAAAAAATGCGTCTTTGAAAGTTGTAAAAAACTAATCCTGGTAGGCGGTACAGGGGTGTTAGTCGTGTTAGAAAAAATAGCAAACAATCCGGTATCGTTTCTACCAATTGCATTCTGCGTTTGCCATTTATAAACAATTAAAGTTGTGATTACAATTTATTGTACATTGTAAGGTACACTGAGATAACACAAACACGGATATTTAAATTTATTTAATTTTAATATTTCAGTAATATATTGTAGAAGTGAATTTTCGTGGCCCCCTGAAAAGTTTCCGTGGCCTACCAATATTCTGTCTTTCATTTATGGCCCCCGTTGAGAAACACTGGTCTATTCCAACGGCTGTGTCGCTATTAGATCTTTATCGCATTGCTAACTTTCTCTTATTTGTGGCCGGATTTTTACGAAATTTTAACAGAAGTTTAGGGATTGATTACTAAAAGTCAATAAATCTACAGAGTGAGCAGGCGACATAACAATTTGCCGTGTCTAATCATTTCATCAATTCATAATTTTAAAGAGAGGAAAGATTCAAAAAAGGTTTTTAAAGATCAAAAAGGGTCACCATTTGAATCTTTTTTTAATTTTTAAACATCTTTTTTTAATCTTTTTTGATTTTTTTAATCGCTTGAATTCTTTTTAATATCATCCCTGGTGTGCTATAGTTTTGAAAAGGGAATTTAGTATGCTGTCTGTTTATATCTGTTTAGATTAAAATATATAGGGTGTTCCTTTTAAAAAAATGAGGTTAGGTTCAATAGGTCTTTTACTTGACCTCGTATACTTATTTTGAAAATAGATAGTAGATTATGCAACAATCATTTGTAATACACACATTTCCAATAGCTTAATTAATTAAGAAATAAAAGGGTCTAATCTAAAAACAAAAATTCCATTTTTTCCCATATGTGAAAAACAAGACTGTAGGCTAGTATAGTTTTGAACATCGAGTTTAATTCAAAAAAATTAACGGGCACTGCGAGGCCAATTTTTTCTGTCAATTATAGTAGTAAAGGAATTTGGCAGCCTTTTTGCTGGGGTTTAATTGGTCTTAACCGAGGCTTCCCTTTGGGTTTTTTGGTTTGAACAAAGTGGTACCGGAAATTGCAGTAAAACGAGTTGTCGAAGTTAATTTGTGCCATCCCGCATAATGTCTTTGGTTGTGTCGTCGATATATTTGAGCGGTTCTGGTGAGATTCCCGGGGGTTGAAATTTTAACCGCAGATGCTTCTAGTAAAGACAAGCATATCGCATGTTGTAAAAATCAGATGTGCGTAGGCGATAACTGCGCAATGGCATCTTTCTTATTTAAGCAGATTTTTTTTTGAAATTTGATTCAAACATTGACTTGAAGGTTGTATTGTAGTAGATTCCGGCCAACGTGGAACCCATTTCGTTTCCACTGAGTTAGTGACACGGTGTGCTGCTGAACACTAGATACGGAGAGGTGACATCAAATGTAACTTAAGGTACGGTGGTATTCGTCTTTTATTCTACTTCGCATATTAGCCAAGTTGGCGTTGTGTACAAATGTGTTAGCTAAATGTGCTATTGCGGCCATCTTTTTGCCCCGATCCGTCCGCCCGTCTCTATGAGTGTGTCGCTTTCACATCTATCTTAAGAGCCACCTTTTTTTGCTATTTGGTTCGTTATGGTGTCGAAGTTTGCATTAAGGAAGTGTAATTTCTCCTGTGGCTCTTACAGAGACAGTTTTAGCCAAACATATATTTTTTCGCTTCTCATAATTTTACACTGTTGCCGTTTAATGTGCTTACATTTTTTAGATTTTTGTTGCATTTTGATTTTTGAATATCCAAAACGTGCAACTTGCTTTACTTTAGTGACCATTTTGGATCAAAGAAACCCAAAATTTAATTTAGGAAGTGGTTAAATGCGTTGATAGAGAAAAATAAAATGGGCTCTGCTGGAATTTGGGTCATTTTTATTATGTCCATTGATCGTGCATGCACAGACCCAACTTTCTTATTTATGAGCGGTTTTTACCACTCGCACGTTAGTAAGGGAGGAATTGCATTGTGGTAAAAAACGACCCTCCACTTTTTGACGGAAATATACGTTTTGACGCACCAGGAATCAGAATCAAAAAAATCTCGATGATGTCGATCTAACGGCCTTTCGGTTCGTCTGTACTCTCATTTCCGACTAAACGGCTGAACCGATTGGAACCAAATTTGGTACACATATTCTTAGACATAAAAGGAAGAACTGAATAACTTTTGAGCAGAATCAGTGTGTCAAACTCTCAAACGTCCACTAGACCTCTTCTCAAACAAATCCTCTTTGTACCATTCGGCATTCCATTCATCACCGACTCTCTCTTTCAAACTCTAAAACACGTTTTCAGCAGTTCCAGCAGACCGAGAAGACTCTTCACGTCATCTGGACGCCATCTCATTGTGGCATAGAAGACAAGGTTAACGTTGATCGCCCGATAAATCCCAATGGCCGCCCATGGACACGACTTGAACTATCCCGATCTGAGGAGCTTACTTTGAGTATTATGAAATTTACTGTCATTTGAATTTGTTTATTTAAAATTAATTCGTTACATTATTTACTGGGATAGGTTAAATTATCTGGCCTGCAGCAATATTTTTGGTTCAGTCCAGTAATTAGGTTTTTTGTTTTTTTGATTGCGTATCAAAAATTGTTTGATTTTCGTATATTCGATTTGAGATAATTTAATAACAGTTATTATTATAAGAGATTCTTTTCAAATAAGTACATCCCAATATGGAAGTTAACATTTTTGCAAATTTTGATTAATGAGATTATCAGTAACAGAAATCAGTTAAGTCCTTTCCTATTTTTAACCCAATTTATACAAGCACTTTTTCCAAAGAACCCCCAAAGAAGTGGTAAAATTTGGATTTCTTCTTTAATTTTTTTCTCCGTAATCATAAGAGTTACAAAGATTGATTTTTCCACTAGCCACTTTTGTTAAGTTTTGTTTTAATTTTCTATCTCTATATCATGGTCAAATTAGATTAGATCTTAATCAGAGCTATTACCCAATGCAATGTATACGTAAGAGAAAATAGGATCAAGTAACTTGAATTTTTAGAACCAATAGCGATACTGTTTGCTATTTAAAACTACTCTCGTTTAGACGGCCCAACATATAAAATGAAATTTGGTATCTGGAGACCCGAGAACGTAAAATATCGAATCCCAACTTAGTTTTCCCACATTAAAAAAAGTGTATTGCAGTTCTTGGTTATATATAATAAAGAAATTTATTAATTCGATATTGCGAAATCTTCAAATACCAAATTTGGTCGAGTTTTCCTCTGAAAAAATTAAAGACACGAAACCAAAATGGAACTACCGCAAGTGTTCTGGTATTTTCATTTTTTTGGTTAGTTTTTTAGATTAAACATGTGGAGAGACCTCAATATGATTGATACCTGTTGAAGTTCGCGATTCCACCCTGTAATTGAAGAGCTTGCTTTCTTACCAATCACTGCGCGTTCAAAATCAAAGGGTATGCTAGCGGAAAATACGGATCTTATTTTATATGTCGCTAGTAGTAATAAATGTGCAGAACTCACGGCTTCATACCCAACATGGAAAAGCATAATATTAGACTAATAGAAAGTACCAATTAACAATCACTTTATAATAGCACCATAGAAATAAAATCATAAAGTACATAGTATATGACTTATTCAAGACAGGAAAGTTAATAGTTCTTTCCTTTGTAGCACAATTTATTAAACAAGGTAAGCGGGAAAATCAGTTTTAGCTGACAACTTTAAAGCAGATGCATTACTTTCCTATAGGTACCTATTCAAATTCAACTTGGAGATGATGTACGCGCCGAAAATCCTGATGCCGTAAAATGGAGCTCTATCGGCATTGGTAACAGTTCGAAATGATTGATATGCAACATTGAACAGAATTAGTCTATAATTAAAATTCTGCTCAATGTAAACTTATATAAT